CTGGTCAGTCGGATAGCGTCATAAAGGTTGGTCAGAGTTGTGACTCAGGAACCGTAGCTGAGGCTGACGAAACTGACAAGCCTGACATTAACTTCAGAAAACATGGCCAGCACGGCGATGTAAAGAATAATGACACCACTGCTGACAACAGAAAATGTAACCAGACAGGCGATAGAGCAAATTATCTCTCCAAACTCATGTCTTGTGCCAAACTTACTTTAGCCACAGAAAGTTACCTACAGAGTTTACTGAAAAACCCCTATATAATCCAATGCCGAGATGCCTATCACGGAGTACAGGAGGCATTTAAAATACAAGTGTGGGGTGTATCCTTTAGAGAGCGCATGTTTGGCCCCCCTTCGAAAATGCAGCGAGAGAAAAAATGCCTTGGCGTTGGTTGGATTGAATTCAGGTCTGCACCTCTACGATTTAGATTCCAGAACGTTCAGTGAAATCAAGCTCGGGAAGGTAAAAAGGAGCTACAGATACTTTTTGTCTGTTGTCTCACTGGGATCAAAACTTGCCTTCTTGTGCACAGACGACTATAGAAATTGTTCTTTTGCCAGGCACGAATGTAATTTTTATACTGTTGCACCTTATTAGACGAGAACAAAAGTGTATCAACATTGTATGAATTGTGCGGTCAAGACACATGTTTCAACGCTTTATTACGGGTAAATAACAAGATTATTTGCGTCAAAAAGTATCGCACTGCTGCAACCAGAAGTCACATAGCAGATCCAGATTTATTGAAAACAGTCACAGTAGACTATGGTATCGACTTTATTCCCGTCTGTGTTTTTGAAAACGATATTTTGATGTTTAATAATGATGATTTTTTCAATGACCGAACTGACGGTTTACCAGTCTACTTTTACAATCTTAAAAAAAAGTCCCTAACCTCAACCCTAATACTAAATGTTGGTGATCAAACTGCTAAACCTGTGGCAATACATAAAGACAGAGACACGTTTCTTTTACTCTCAAGCGGGGTTTTACTCTCGGTCAAAAGAGGTTCTGACAACGCAGTACTGTTAACACCGGTAGTTCGTCTTTGGACTTTTGAATGGTGGCTGAGTGGAGCTGTGTGCTATAAAAACGAGCTGACTTTGTTTAGTGTATTAAACCCTATAGCATTTGGAAATATTTTGACGTCCGTGCCGGGACTGTTTGACAAGATCAATTTTGTCGAGCTGGGCATGAAGTTTAAGATAAAAAATATGGTGCCTGTGGTAGCGCCTGTGTCTTGGTTCGGGTAATCTGCTGTGAGGTTCTGGCAGTGTTTTGTTTTATTCCGTCGTCTGCTGTCACAAGTCATTAAATAAAAGTCGTCATTCATTGAGAACTATCGTAGGTAATCAAACACATTACCCCAAATAACGATTGAAATTATCTGTGGCTAAACACATAATATAACTTTAACGTTTGACCAACTATTTCTTGTGGCTAAACACATAATATAACTTTATCGTTTGACCAGCTATTTCTTCAATTTTTGACTACAGATGACCTAATTAAGGAGAATAAGCGACATTGATCTAATTCCATCGCCAAAGAAAAAAAAATTCTATGAAAACATATTTTTCAGTGAACACATCATTATTTAAACATTATCGTGTGTATTTTATTATAATCACACATACACTGTAAGTCATTAAAACAAAGATACCTTCATAAATATGTATTTTTTAAAATAATTTTACAATTTATACGTTCTGTTAAACTAGAATGTTCTTTTTATTTGATTTTTTACTTTGTATTGTCATCAGCTTAAACATTGCCTTCCTAATATGTCTCATACACTATCTTCAACATTATACTCCAACAGCAATTACAGCAATCGCTGTCTCCATAGCTGCTGTCCCCCCCCCCCCCCTCACCCCCCACACCTCAGTCTTCACCGATTAGCCTTCAATTTAACAGCTATCACTCTAAACAGCTTAAACCCCAAAAGCCTAAACCCCACCAACCTGAACCCTAACATCCTAAACCTCAAAAGCCTTCATTCCAACAGCCTATTTCTCCTTTTATTACATTTATACTTGTTATTAAACCGTTTTTATTTAGCATTTTATTTCAGTACTTTAATTTTTTTTTTTTGATACAATAGAGTTGTATGACTAAACACTATTGCACAGGAAAGGAACATGACCATGAGAAATGCGTGTATAATAGCGCGGTAAATATGACTTTATATAGGAACATTTTATTAATTATTTAACATTAATTTAGCATCCGATATTATGTAAGATCAGATTACCAACGGGGCTAGATTCTACGTGCTAAGTTTGAAACAAATCGGTCAGTTAGAATTGATCCAAACTTCGCTGGGCAGTTTCGATTCATGACAGACACACAGACATACGAATCAAGTAAATAAATGCATGTCAAAACAGCCTGAAATGGGAGTAAAACGGCTTATAAGTTGCATATAAACTTTACACGTAATACTTAATTGTGTTGGAAGAAATTCCTTGTTTTTAAGATGATTAAAAATATGCTCATCAAATACACGAGAAATGTAGCTTTCCAATGATGCCAAATACAGGATGATGACGGATATATTCCAACCTTTTAATGTAAAACGAAGCAGAAGAGTGCGTGTGAGTAATGGATATAACTAAAGTGTACAAGGATGCAAAAGTCTCCATAGGTTTACCAGTGGAATTTAATAATCCCGTATGCATAAAGCTATTGAAGAATACTGTATTATATGGCTACATGGAGCTATTGAAAGGTTTAACTTGGGTTTAAGGAACTATAACTAAAATCGAATTGTCAATCTTGTAGGGAAAATGCAACTTAATAATGTTAAATGTAACTTTAATTTAATTTCACATTATGACGTGAATTGTGAAATTAAAGTATTTATACATTTCTACATTATCAAATTCGTTTAATGACGATAGTTAATTATGATTTTTCTTATTAACTAGCCGGCATGACCAGACCCTGCACTGGCCTTTAAGTAAAGCTTACATATAAATTTAACGTGAACAATATTAATATGAAATCTCTACGTCCACACACACTCCACAAACCCTGGCACAAATATTAACACCTGAAAATGTTACCATTTTAAAGTATGTTGGTATCTAACTGATCACTTGTTGATTTAGTACTTTTATCTGTTTAATTGCAATGCGAACTACATTAGTATGAATGAGGATATAAAAATAGTAAACTAAAACTCTATAGCGTTACCGCATTGATATTCTAAAAGCAAAAAGAAAACTAATATAAAAGTTTTAAAATGCATATTAAGTTGAAGTACGCGTGTATACAGAGTATAAAATCGCGTAAAATTAATTGTGTTGGCCGTCATTAAACTGTAATTCTCAAATCAACACCTAAATGTCAAAGATGTATTTTAATGTTGTTTTTTTTTTACTAATTTCTTAACAAATACAAATCTGATCAAAACGCATACATTCGATGTAACATGGAACTAAAGCATACAAACAATAATATAAAAGCACACTATTTTAACTACATTATATCTCCATTGTGTCCTGGACAGTGAGACGATTGATGCACAATGGAAAAATGCGCAACGGAAAAAATGCACAAAAAATGTTGTAAGAACATTTTGGTTTTCTTAAATTTTAAATTTAAAAAAACAGTCACCACATGTATACTGTAGCATAATAAAGCATATTATAAAAAATATGGCAAAATTGAAGAGTATTAGTATAATTAGTTAGTATTTGCGTATTTTCCATTGAATAGTTTTTAAATTGCGCATTTTATAATGTACCATCCTTGACGTCTAATAGAAAAGACCATTAGCAATAAATACAGCAGAATATTAGCTGTGGATGTGTCCCAGGATTTAAGCAGATTTAATACCAGAAATGGAAACAATAGTACTACAACTCTATCTGTGTCGGTATTGTAGTAGTTTCCTAGATTTAAAATTAATTCTCTAGTTCAGCACTTACTAACTAAATAGAAACTAATACAACTGATCCCTATGCCCTAATGACATTCGTACATAATCTTAAATCCTTAACTTTTGTATGTAAACATCAATAAAAGATTTTGCTTAGCTTGAAAGGGTTTAAAAAATATTTTTCTTGCACATAACTATTACCTAAAATTCAGACAACGATGTCTATTGGCAAAGCGAAGTCCAAACAAATTTCTTAAATGACCTTAATGGAGGCGAGCGAGTTGACAAGAAACCCTCCATCATGTTGTTGACATGGAATAAAAACGTGCTTTTTTTAGATTTAGCAAACATAGCAACCGTAAAATAATAACAAATAAAAACGTAAGCCTAAAATTAATTCAGAAATTATTCATTTTTAGAATCAATGCTATAAAAGTTGAAACTCAAGAGAACTTGGGAAAAAATGTTTTGAGTTTAAGACTGCATTTCTATTTAGTTTTATAAAGCGTAAATTTAACCGGATGTTTCACTTTCGTAGGACTAATATTGATTTGCTATACAGGAACTCCGTGATCGATAACTATTTGTTTACAAAAAAAAATAATCATGAACTAGTTTTCCTTTTTTATTTCGCTTACAATGTGTACAATAAAAATTATGGCAGCCTATCGAACAGCAGGATTCAATTGTTTATGTCGCCGTTATACGTGCAAACCAAATGCGTTTTTGCTTTTTTTTATTTTTATTTAGTTACCGAAAATATTAAAAACTTCAAATATATCCAATCTTTAGTAAAGTCCGAAAAAAACAGACGGACAGGATTTTATAACCATATTAATTGTAATTACCCAATGCATTATTTTAAAATTATATACTGGGCATTTCGAATACTATCTCTCGCGTGTCCATTAAATGGCTTCACCTGGTAAAAAAACCGCGCCTTCCCCCTCATATGTTAGTCTACAGATTCCTATAAAAGATTAAAACATAAAGTCATTTAAGATATACGCTTCACACCAAAAACTTTGTTCCTAAAAAATATCGCGATTATAAAAGTCAATGCACACATTCTTTTTAAAATGAACGGATGACACACTTTTAATGGTAACTTCAACTATTATTTATTTACATTATTTGGCTCTGAAATGTTTGTACTTAAAATGTTCTAAAATCTTATTCTACAGGTAATATTTATGTTTAATATATCAGATAACAATAAAACCTAGCCCTTTAGCTTTATGATTTCTTAACCCTGTAATGGATAATATAGGTTCTTAGTTTTTTCCCTTTAGTTAGAGAGCCATATCTGAAATCTCTTTTCAGTATTGAGTTTTTCTTTACTAATTCGGGTATATATTTATATTTAGAAAAGTTTGTGTCGTGTATATAGTGTATATTATATAATATTAAACTGTATTGTGATTTGTAAAAGTCCGGTTTATACCCGTTTTCTGTAATATGTGTGAGATTATGTGTGATAGTCCCAGTTTAGTCCAGTTCTTCTACAAGTTCAGCGTGGGTATGTTTTCTACTGACTGTTAGATGGCCACTGTATCTTAGTTTGGGTTCTACTGGTACTGGCGTAAGTATTTATATTTAGAATAGTCTGGGTTGTGTTGATAATGTATATAGTTTTAAACTTCTTTTATTTGAACAAACTGCTGTTTCATTTAATCTTCTTTTTAACCCGTTTGTAATTGTTCATCTTATATGTTGCATACTGCACTGGATCACACCCAAAGTCTTGTCCGTGAGTTCACAACAGTCAGAACTTTACCTAGCCACAATAATTGTTACTTTAAAAAATTTTAAGCACCCCAAAATACCAGCTCTTGGATAAACCTGAGACTTTCTGGTTAGCAATAGCAAGGTTTACCATCAGATCAAGTCTTCCCAAGGGAGTAGACACAATTATCAAGTTTAGATGTTAGACTGAAGGAAGTTACTCAGTTGAACTAAAACTGATTTACCATAGAATGTTCGTGTTCTAGACCTTAGAGTTACCAGTCGCGAGTTCTATCAACTCAACACACAGTCGTGTCCACACATAATGACCTTGACAATTTATATTTCCAGTTGTACACCATGAGATCATCGAACCAATTTTGACACTGAAATAGTGCTGAACGGAATTGATCGCAGAGACATCATTAAAGTCTAAACATGGCTTGTACGTCTACGACGAACACCGCATCATGTGATTTCACCATTGTGGTTGACGGCACCGAATTTAACAGCCACCGGGAAATCCTGAGTTCAACTTCCGCATACTTCGACGCCTTGTTTAGAAGCAACATGAGGGAGACAAAAGAAAGGAGGGTGGAGCTACAGGGTATGACAAGTGAGACTTTCAATGTTGTGTTAAATTTCATCCACCAGCGTGTCCATGGTCTGACGGCTGATAACATTGATGACATCTGGGAAGCAGCGAACCGTCTGGACATAGCAATATATCTTAAAGAAATAGAACATTTTGTGATTGAAAATTTATCGATTGATAACCTATGGCACATTTATTTCAAAGCCGTTCTAATCAATTCCAACAACGTCAAAGAAGGGTCGCTAATGTTCATGAAGCAAAATTACGAGCATGTATTTAGGATGAAAGAGTTTCTGAATTTGCCGTTTTCTTTAGTGTTATCTTGTATTGAAAGTGATGAGTTGAATGTGAGGACAGAGGACTCAGTTCTGGAGTCAATTTTAACCTGGGTTTCTCGTGGGAGATACAAACCTGACCGCAGAGATACGGGAGCCACATATAAGGAGGTTAAACTTCAGAACAGTGAGGGTTCTTCTCGTGACATTCCAACTTCTGATCAGTCGCTTAGCGTCATAAAGGTTGGTCAGATTTGTGACTCAGGAATTCTAGTTCAGGCTGACGAAACAGCAACTGACAAACCTGGCATTAACATTAGACAACATGGTCAGCACGATGACGACAAAAAAGAGGACGTAACAAAATGTAGCCGGTCTGTCGACCGAGCTAAGTATCTCGCCAAACTTGTGTCTAGTGCCAAACTTACTTTAGCCACAGATAATTACTTAAATAGTTTACTTAAAAACCACTATATAATAAAATGCTCCGATGCTCATCGCGGAGTACAGGAAGCCCTAAAATACAAGTCAGGGGAGTATCCATTAAAGAGCGCAACATTGAAACCTCTTCGAAAGTGCAGCGGAAAGAGAAATGCCATGGCGTTTGTTGGAAAGGAAGGTTTGTACCTCTACGATTTGGAGAGCAGGACTTTCAGTAAAATCAAGCTCAAAAGTGTAAAGGAACGTTACAGAAATTTTGCCTCTGTGGTTTCGCTAGGGTCGACCCTTTGCTTCATATGCGAAAAACCGTTCCGAAATTGTCCTTTTGCCAAGCACAAATGTAACATTTTAACTGTCCTTTTGTTAAACGAGAATAAAACAGTGTCAACATTGTATGAGATGTGCAGTAATCCCAACTCGCTCAAAACGTTATTCCGCGTAAACACCAACTCTATTTACGTCAAAACAAACGATAGCTACGCTTCAAAAAGAAGTCGCAAAGTAGATCATGATTTGTTGAAAACAGTCACATTAAAAACCGGTGACACTTTTGTTCCCATCTGCGCTTTTCAAACCGATATTTTGATGTTTAAAAACGTCGAATATTTCATTGCCAATACCCTAACTAACGATTTAACAGTCAACATTTACAATCGTGAAACTAAGTCCAAAACAAAAATCAAAATACCGAATGTTGATGGACATTATTACAACAACTTGGCCATACACTAAGACAAAGACACGTTTCTTTTACTTTCAAATGGACTTTTACTATCGGTCAAGAGAGATTCTGACAGCGCAATACAATTCACACCGGTAGTTCGTCTTTGGACAACTTTTCAATGGTGGTTGAGTGGAGCCGCTTGCTATAAAAACGAGCTGACTTTGTTTTGTAACGCAAGTCGTATACCACAGGGGACGATTTTGACGTCCGTGACGGGACTGTTTGACAAGATCAGTGTCGTCGAGCTTAGTGATGAGATTTTGATAAAAAATATGGTTCCTGTGATAGCGCCGGTGTCTTGGTTCGGGTAATCAGCGCTGAGGTTTTGGCAGGAATTCTGGTGTCCCATCGTCTGCTGTTACACTTGTTTTGAATAAAAGTTGTCAGTCAATGAAAAATCATCGTAGGTCGTCAAACACAATATGCCAAAAATAGAGTGAGATTAACTGTAGTTCAGCGCATCATATAACGTCAGCTTTTGACCAACTGTAATATTCTATTTCTTCGATGTAGATGCTATAGAAGACCCTTCTGTACAATTAGCTACCTTGATCTAATTCCATCTCAAGGAAGACCAGCTAGTTCTATTATAACGTTTTACGTGTATACATCACTATTTACACATTATCTTCTGTCTTTTATTGTGATTATCACATTTACGCAGTCGGTTATTAAAATAAATAAAAATTCAAAAATTTCAATTTAAACGATTTTAGTTTTACAAATACCCCTAGAATTAATTTTTACTACTTTCATTTTTAATGTGACTTGCTTAAACACAAATGCATCCTATTGGCTTCCCTCGTGGTCCTCTATTACGCTATTCCAAAAAATGCTTAAACAGCAATAAGTGTCACCCCAACAGTATTTACTCCAACAGCCCACCCCAACAGCCTTTCGGATAACAGCCTTCACCCCAACAACCTTCGCCCCAACAGCCTTCACCCCAACAACATTCACCCCAACAACATTCACCCCAACAACCTTCACCCCAACAATATTCACTCCAACAACCTTCACCCCAACAATATTCACTCCAACAACCTTCACTCCAACAACCTTCACTCCAACAACCTTCACCCCAACAACCTTCACTCCAACAACCTTCACCCCAACAATATTCACTCCAACAACCTTCACCACAACAATATTCACTCCAACAACCTTCACCACAACAACCTTCACTCCAACAACCTTCACCCCAACAATATTCACTCCAACAACCTTCACCCCAACAATATTCACTCCAACAACCTTCACCACAACAACCTTCACTCCAACAACCTTCACCACAACAATATTCACTCCAACAACCTTCACCCCAACAATATTCACTCCAACAACCTTCACCAAAACAACCTTTACCACAACAACCCTCGCCCCAACAGCCTTAACCCCAACAACCTTCACCCCAACAACCTTCACCCCATCAGCCTTCACTCCAACAGCCTTAACACTGACATCCGCCGCTCACTTTTCTTGCTCCTAGTTTCTCAATCCTCTCCGTCTGGTATAGTTGATCTTATAAAGCGTGGTTGATGTCTGTGAAGAAATGTTCTTGCGTTTGGTGTGTATCAAACAGTATTATAAATGATGAAATGCCCCATAACTGCACAATTTAGAAGTAAAAGAGATGAGTTACTGTCATAATTTAGTTCATAGGACTTTCCTGTTTAGCACCCCGTCATCGAAATGCCAGCCACTTTACGGCGATCTCGCTTTGAAAATTTCATCCAGAATAAAGTAATAAAAATTAAAGAATGTTTTAACTATGACAGCATATAAAGTAAGAGTACATACATATATTTTAGAACATTAGGAATAAAGCGTGATTGTTTAAATCATTTTTTTTTATATTTAAATTTTTAAATAGAAAAGAATCGTGTAGAAAAACAAAAAGAATTTAAAGCTAATCAAGGTTCGAAATTTTCCTGTTAAGTTTCCACGAAGATAGTAAAAACTCATTGTGGTTTTTTAGAAAATCTTAAATAAAATTAAGTACTACTTCCAGTCACCTGAACTTTGACATAACCTAATGTATAGGCTTTTTTGCTTATTCGCTTATTTTGCTTATTTATAAAAAGTCGTCTATCTAACTGAAAGTGTAATAATGTTATTTTCTTTAAGAAACCGAGAGTAAATTTAGTGACACTTTCGATTACCTTAAACGCTAAAAATGTTTAAAGAAAACCTAGCTGAAACGATAAGGTTATCGTGTTAACGTAAACAAAGACAAACATCCAATTAGACACCACCCCCCCCCCACACACACACACGCAAGCTAACAAAAAACACAGACATACAGACCTTAATAAAAATTATTTTTTTTCCGGCTTAAGTAGGTGTAAAAGTTCTAAATCAGTTATTTTTTTTTTAATTTTGTATATTTGTTAAAATCATTATATATTGATGTTCGCAGAATTTCTTCATAACATGATTTCAAATTTGGTAAAAATCACGATTTCAATTTTTGCAAATTTGTTAAAATCACAATGTTGATGTTTGCTGATTTGATCAAATGACGATTTCGATTTTTGAAGATTTGTAAAAATCACGTTTTCGATTTTTGCAGATTTGTTAAAACCACTATTTTGATTTTTTCAGATTTGTTTAAATCACGATTTTGATTTTTGCAGATTTGTTAAAATCGCGATTTTGATTTTTGCAGATTTGTTAATATTTTGATTTCGTTTTTTTTAGATTTGTTAAAATAATTTTTCTTAGACAGAAGACAAACAGAAGAAGCAAGTTAAAAAAAAATTTGTAAACAAATTCATAAAAAACGTTGTAATAACAAGCTTTTATGAAATAATGCACTGAAAAGTAGAAAATAAATTATAGGCCTACAATACAATTTAAATAACTATACAGAAAAGCGTGGGTCATTTTAGTATATATTGGATACCTTTACTAATATGTAGGAAGAGACTCGCGCTTTTCTTCATAGTTATTGAAATTGTAGTGTATAGTTTATTTTCTACTTTTAAAAGAAAGTAATTAATACAAACAATTAATTCAAATTTAATGTCACGTTGCATTGTATTTATTTCTTGGACCAAGTACCAACGTTGAAACAAATCTGTCAGTTAGAAGTGTCTGAAATTTCCCTCGGCGTTTCGATCTAGACAGACAGACAATCGATCGAGGAAGAAAGTTAAATTAAAGCTTGTAAGAAAAGCTTGTAAAATGAAAATTTTATTTTATGCAAGTTTTCATCAGCAATTCAAAAGTTTGGTACAATTAATTATTTTTATACTTGCCTAGCTGTCGATCAAGTCGTCATCATAATGCTATGTATCTGTATCTTACCTAATGCTAGGTACAAAAATGTTAATCTAATCAACACGCATACATTTTAATGTAATTTCGAAGCTAAAGCTTAAGTAAATTAAGATAAAATCACAATATTTCTACTAAAGTGGCGTGTCGGTGTGTCCTGGAATGTGACGGGAAAGATGCGCAACGGAATAATGTGCAACGGAAAAATTAACAAAGAGCTACTGTACTGAACTTTAGCATAATAAAACATATTTTTAAGAAATATGGCAAAATTAAATTGTATTAATATCATTAGTTTCTATTTGTGAAATTTTATCTTGTGCAGTTTTGAGATTCCACATTTTCCTAGATATCGTTCTTTACACCAAAAGCAAAAGATGATTCACAATAAACTCAGCAGAAAATTAGCTGTGGGTTTGATCATGGATTTAAATAGAGCAAATACCAGAAATGAAAGGAATACTTTAAAAAATGTTACTGTCGGCCGTTCAGTATTTGCCTAGATTAAACAGTAGATCTCTAGTTAAGCACTACATAAACTAAATGAAATGAAAACAAATACAACTGACCTGTAAGCTTTAATCTTATTACTACGTATTTTTAAATTCCTACCTTTTTAGATAGGATGAACTGGTTAAAAAGCATTTTTCTTGCACATAACTATGACTTAATTACAGTCAGCGATGTATCTTCGCAATGCTACGCCCAATGCAATAAAAGTTGAAACTCAAGAGAACTTGAAAAAAAATGTGTTGAGTTTAAGACTACATTTCTATTTATTTTCATAAAGCGTAAATTTAACTGGAAGTTTCACTCTCGTAAAATAAATATTGATTGACTATACAGGAACTCCGTGATCGATAACAATTTGTTTACAAAAATTTAGATAAAATTTTTAAATAACATTGCAAATTCAAACCACATGACCTAGTTTTTCCTATTTTTTTTCGCTTACAATGTGTACAATAAAAAATATGGCAGCCTATCGAATAGCAGGATGTCGTTGTTTATGTCGCCATAGTACCTGAAAACCAAATTGTTTTTGCTTTTTTTAAATGTTTATATAGTTACCGAAAATATTAAAAACATCCTATACATCCAATCTTTAGTAAAGTCCAAAAAAAAAACACACAGACAGGACTTTATAACCATATTAATTGTAACTACGCCTTGCATGATGTTTAAATAATTTAATGGGCTTCTCGAATACTTTCTCGGTCGCGTCCATTAAATGGCTTCACCTGGTGAAAAACCGCACCGCCCCCCCCCCCCCCCTCATATTATGTAAGTCTACACATTCATATAAAAAAATTAAAACATTATGTCAGTTAAGATCTACGCATCTTCGCACCAAGAATTTGGTTCCTAAAATGTCTGCTTGGTCGCGATTATAAATGAAAACGCACTCATTGTTTTTTAAATGAACGGATGGCACATTTTCAATGATAACTCGACAACTATTATTTATTTATATTACTTGCCTCTAAAATTTTATACTTAAATCTTTTAAAATGTGAAGGTAATAGAATCTGCTTATGTATAATATATCAAATAATAATAAAACTTAGCCCTACAGATTTATGATTTCCCAACCCTGTAATGGACAATAAAGGTTGAAAGTTTTTTTTCCCTTCATTATATCTGAAACCTCTTCTGAAATCTAGTTTTTATTACTAGAGTATGTATTTATATTTAGAATAGTCTGTGTTGTGTATATAGTGTATACAAATTATTTTAGTTTTAATAAACCGACGTTTAATTAAAATTACTCTTGTTTATTAACCCGTTTTAGTTGTTTGTCTTAAATGTTGCATAGAGCACTTGACATCTAAAGCAGTGTCCGTGTGTTCACTATGCCTAGACGCATTTGTTTTTCTAACTTTCAGGTTACACGTCATAAGTTCTACCATCAGACCAAGCCACATCCACGAGAGTACCCGAAATTATCAAGTTAAGATGTAAGCCTTTGTAGGAAGTCACTGAGTTCCTCCAGCTCTGATCACCACCTAACCATAGAGTATTTCCTGAGTTCACACAGCTCTGATGGGTATTGGTCTCATAAAAGGGACTGTTGTGCATAGTACTTTACCTTCATCTGCCGTTGTAAACAAAAGATGAACAGTACTTCATCAGCCGTATGAAACATAAGGTACGAAATGAAATTACTACCTGTAAGTTATACATAATACAGACAGATAAAGTCAACCCATTACTAAACTTACCCTTGAAGGTAACCTTAAAGACTAATTTAATCATTCTCTAACGCTAATCCGAAAAGTAAAATTAAAATATAATAGTAACAGTTATATTTAAGTAGTACATAAAAACAATATGAGAAGCTAATCTCCAACGATACTTATATTCTGTCATTACTCAGCATAGAGTGAATAAAAAGTACCCGTGAAACGATATGACTCTCCTGTGCCTAATCCTAGCGTTGATATTATTCACAATTACACTAAGATTGGTAAATTTATTCAATCACAAAGAAGTAGTTAAGTTACTGTTTAGAAGTTGGCATTCTATTGCGCGGATGATGTGAAATTTTGAGTAGTTCGTGTGGCCAGCACTATGTCCGATCATCTTTTCTTTACGTGAGTCAGGTTTCTACCAGTGCAGGGTGGACTCAGGGCCACCGTACTGACTCTATCCAGGGATTCGAGCTCGAGTCTTTAGAGTCATGACTTCCACCATCCCACCACACCGACAGGCTTTCACTAAATCTTAACCTTAACAAACATATATTTTCAGATGTACACTAAGAGATCATCAACAAACTCAAAAATGGCTGGTACTCCAACATCGAACGACGCATCATGTGATTTCACCATCGTGGTTGACGGCACTGAATTTAAAAGCCACCGGGAAATCCTAAGTTCAACTTCAAATTACTTCGACGCCTTGTTTAGAAGCAACATGAGGGAGACAAAAGAAGGGAGGGTGGAGCTACAGGGTATGACAAGTGAGACTTTCGCTGTTGTGTTAAATTTCATCCACCAGCGTGTCCATGGTCTGACGGCTGATAACATTGATGACATCTGGGAGGCGGCAAATCGTCTGGATATAGCAATATATCTTAAAGAAATAGAACAATTTGTGATTGAGAATTTATCAATTGATAACATATGGCATTTTTATTTAAAAGCTGTCAATTACAATTCTAACAATGTCAAAGACGGTTCGCTAATATTCATGATGAAAAACTACGAGCACGTTTTTAGAATGAAAGAGTTTCTGAATTTGCCTTTTTCTTCAGTGTTATCTTGTATTGAAGGTGACGAGTTGAATATCAAAACAGAGGACTCAGTTCTGGAGTCAATTTTAACCTGGGTTTCAAACGGAAATAATTACAAACAAGGTGCTTGTATGACGCGTGATTGCAGCGAAAAGAAAATCGCGTGTAAGGATGATGGACTCCAGAACAGTGAGGGTCACTCTCGTGAAGTCACTATTTCTGTTGGTCATATTTGTGACTCAGAAACTGTAGCTGAGGATGGCGAAACAGCAACTGACAAGCCTGGCAGAAAACAAGGTCAGCACGATGACGTCAAAAACGAAGAACAAACTGGTGACGTCACAAAATGTAGCCGGATAGGCGATCGAGCAAGTTATCTCGCCAAACTCATGTCAAGTGCCAAACTTACTTTAGCCACAGAAAGTTACCTAAGGAGTTTACTCACAAACCCCTATATAATCCAATGTCCAGATGCCTATCACGGAGTACAAGAAGCCCTGAACTACAAGTGTGGGGTGTATCCTTTAGAGAGCGCAACATTAACCCCTCTTAGAGCGAGCAGCGGAAAGAGAAATGCCTTGGCGTTCGTAAAAGAGGATTCATGTCTTCACCTCTACGATTTAGAGAACAGGGCTTTTAGTAAAATCAAGCCTGAGAATTTTAAAGGACGATACAGAAACATTGTGTCTGTCGCCTCGCTGGGGTCTAAACTTTGCTTCATATGCGAAAGGTACTTAAGAAAATGTCCTTTCGCCAATCACAAATGCCGCCTAGCGACTGTCCTTTTGTTAAACGAGAATAAAACGTTGTCCACATTGTATGAATTGTGCGGTCAATACAACTCGTTGAAAACTTTATTCTGTGTGAATAACAAATTTTTTTGCGTAAAAGAAAACGATCGATATGCTGCAACTAGAAGTCGAATTATGAATCCAGATTTACTAAGCACAGTCGTATTAAACTCTGAAAGGGTTTTTCTCTCTTCCTGTGCTTTTGAAAACGATATTTTGATGATTATTTTCGAAGGTTTTGTAACAAACCAACCTAACGAATTACTAGTCCACACTTACAATCTGGAAACTAAGTCCCTAACAGCAACCAAAATACCAAATGTTGGTAGATTAGATTTTATTGCTGTTGCAATACACAAAGACAAAGACACGTTTCTTTTACTCTCAAGTGGAGTTTTACTTTCGATCAAGGGAGGTTCTGACAATGCAATTAAATTCAACCCTGTAGTCCATCTTTGGACAAATATTAATTTGATGCTAAACGGAGCTGTGTGCTATAAAAATGAGCTGACTTTGTTTTGTATAGCAAGCCGTGTGCCCAATTGGACGATTTTGTCGTCCGTGCCGGGACTGTTTGAGAAGATCAGTGTCGTCGAGCCGACGGAGGAGATGTGGACAACAAATATGGTGCCTGTGATAGCTCCGTTGTCTTGGTTCGTGTAAATAGTTGTGAGTTTTTGGCAGTGCTTCTGTTGTTCCATCATCTGCTTTCACCATTCTTTGGAATAAACGTCGCCAGTCAATGAAAACCATCGTATGTCGTCAAAGTGAGAATAACATTAGCTCAGTGAATCATATAACTTTAGCGTTTGTCCAACGATAATATTCTATTTCTTCGATTTACTGTACAATCAGCCACCAAGATCTGATTCCATCTAACCGAAGACCAGCTAGTTCTATTATAATTTTTACGTGTATTCATCACTATTTACACATTATCTTGTGTCTTTTATTATGCTTATAACATTTACACTTTATTAAAAACAAAACATAAATAAAAATTTCTATTGAAACTAAAATTTTAATTTTTACATGATATTATTCTACAATTCGTTATTACTATTTTCATTTGTAATGTGACTTGCTTAAACAAATGTATGTATTGCCTTCCAATGTGGTCTTCTATACCGCAGTTCCAAGCAATACTTCAACAGCAATGACGGTCAACTTAACAGCTGTCACCCCAACAGTTTTTACTCCTACTTAATTTTCTTTAACAGCCATAACCCCAACATCCGCCGACAACTTGTTCCTCAAACGTCTCCGTCTGGTGTAGTTGACCTCTATAAAGAAATGTTCTTGCGTTTGGTGTGGATCAAACAGTATTATAAATTATGAAATGCTCTATAACTGCACAATTTAGAAGTAGAAGTGATGAGTTACTGTCATGATTTAGTTCATAGGACTTTCCTGTTTAGCACCCCGTCATCGAAATGCCAGCCACTTTACGCCGATCTCGCTTTGAAAATTTCATCCAGAATAAAGTAATAAAAATTAAAGAATGTTTTAACTATGACAGCATATAAAGTAAGAGTACATACATATATTTTAGAACATTATGAATAAAGCGTGATTGTTTAAATCATTTTGTTTTATATTTAAATTTTTAAATAGAAAAGAATCGTGTAAAAAAAGAATTTAAAGCTAATCGATGTTCGAAATTTTCCTGTTTAGTTTCTACGAAGATAGTAAAAAAACGCATTGTTGTTTTTAAGAAAATCTTAAATAAAATTAAGTACTACTTCCAGTCCCCTGAACTTTGACATAACCTAATGTATAAGCTTTTTTGCTTATTTGCTTATTTTGCTTATTTATAAAATGTCGTCTATCTAACTGAAACTGTAATAATGTTATTTCCTTTAAGAAACCGAGAGTAAATTTAGTGACACTTTCGATTACCTTAAACGCTAAAAATGTTTAAAGAAAACCTAGCTGAAACGATAAGGTTATCGTGTTAACGTAAACAAAGACAAACATCCAATTAGACACCCCCCCACACACACACACACGCAAGCTAACAAAAAACACAGACATACAGACCTTAATAAAATTATTTTTTTTCCGGCTTAAGTAGGTGTAAAAGTTCTAAATCAGTTATTTTTTTTTTATTTTGTAGATTTGTTAAAATCATTATATATTGATTTTCGCAGATTTGTCAAAATCACGGTTCGATTTTTGGAAGACTTGTTAAAATCACGATTTTTATTTTTGCAGATTTGTTGAAACCACATTTTTTGAGAATTTCTTCATAACATGATTTCAAATTTGGTAAAAATCACGATTTCAATTTTTGCAAATTTGTTAAAATCACAATGTTGATGTTTGCTGATTTGATCAAATGACGATTTCGATTTTTGAAGATTTGTAAAAATCACGTTTTCGATTTTTGCAGATTTGTTAAAACCACTATTTTGATTTTTGCAGATTTGTTTAAATCACGATTTTGATTTTTGCAGATTTGTTAAAATCGCGATTTTGATTTTTGCAGATTTGTTAATATTTTGATTTCGTTTTTTTTTAGATTTGTTAAAATAATTTTTCTTAGACAGAAGACAAACAGAAGAAGCAAGTTAAAAAAAAAATTGTAAACAAATTCATAAAAAACGTTGTAATAACAAGCTTTTATGAAATAATGCACTGAAAAGTAGAAAATAAATTATAGGCCTACACTACAATTTAAATAACTATACAGAAAAGCGTGGGTCATTTTAGTATATATTGGATACCTTTACTAATATGTAGGAAGAGACTCGCGCTTTTCTTCATAGTTATTGAAATTGTAGTGTATAGTTTATTTTCTACTTTTTAAATTTTAAAAAAAGTAATTAATGCAAACAATTAATTCAAATTTAATGTCACGTTGCATTGTATTTATTTCTTGGACCAAGTACCAACGTTGAAACAAATCTGTCAGTTAGAAGTGTCTGAAATTTCCCTCGGCGTTTCGATCTAGACAGACAGACAATCGATCGAGGAAGAAAGTTAAATTAAAGCTTGTAAGAAAAGCTTGTAAAATGAAAATTTTATTTTATGCAAGTTTTCATCAGCAATTCAAAAGTTTGGTACAATTAATTATTTTTATACTTGCCTAGCTGTCGATCAAGTCGTCATCATAATGCTATGTATCTGTATCTTACCTAATGCTAGGTACAAAAATGTTAATCTAATCAACACGCATACATTTTAATGTAATTTCGAAGCTAAAGCTTAAGTAAATTAAGATAAAATCACAATATCCATATACTACTAAAAGTCAAGTTTGTTTACATGTTTGAATATTTATTTTTTTGTTTTTTTGTTTGTTTGTTTGTTTGCCTGATTGACTATTGTGATATGTTCGACTCAATCTGGAGAGCTGTAAAATAGTATGTAGGTAGAGAATAATTTTTTAATGCAGACAGACTGTTAATCACACATTTATTTAAAGACGTTAATTAATTTATTGATTTATTCATAGTTGAATTAACCGTATTTTTTAAAAAATGTTAATACTTTGAATAAACTTTGTGGGGATAGTGACGTCCCTTGATAGTGACGTCAGAGTTTTTTGTTGACTCTTTAGTACAATAAAATGGCGGCGTCTATCGAAGAAAATTGTGTTCCCATTCCAAAGTTTAACGCGTTCTAAATCTAATTTTCTGTCGGTCATAACTTTAACAATACGTCCGTTTGCTGTATTTATTACGTTCCAACACTTATATCAATTTTCAACTGTCTTTTTTCATTTAGTTTTACAATAAATTTCTCTAGATCTAAAGATCAGCTGTCGAAGGAAATTTATGAATCTAGCCTAGATCTAGATCTAGGTCACTAAACTCAATGTAAATTCTAAATCTAGAATCTATTTCAGGCCTTAATACATCTAGAATCTATTTCAGGCCTTAATTATTTTATATAAATCTTTGTTTGGCTAATTTAAGATAAAATTTAATTTGAAAGTTACTACTTCTAGACTAGACGCTCGAAATCAAGTTGCATCAAAGTATAGTATAAAAATTCATTTGTGACGTCACGAGTAAATAGCTAAGTTTGTAGCGTAGTCCGCTCTCATGCGAGTGGTACAGGTTCTAGACCAATATGTCAATGATATTTTTTTTCAATTTTTTTTTTTAGATGTTAATGATAAAGTTGCCTATCTGAACTTGGCAGGATACAGGGCAGGTGAAGTAGAGTTCATCTGTTTCTTTGTCCTAACCATATGAAAGGATAGTGTGGTCAGAGACATGCTCGGCTGGAATCGTTTTTTAAACGATAAAAACATGTTGTCTGAGACTTGGCGGGACACTGGGCAGGTGAAGTAGAGTTGAGTAGGTCACATGTGACGTCAGTATATGAAGGGATAGTCCGAAATCGGTGTTTTCGGTGTTTTTAAAAGATAAGAAACATATTTTTGAATGTGGGCTCTGTTTTTGTGACGATAAGTGACACTGCAGTAGCGTAGCGAGGAGGGGGGGGGAGCGGGTGGGGAGGCGGGGGGGGGGGGAAGGGGAGGCGGGGGGGGGGGGGAGGGGAAAGGGGAGGCGGGGGGGGGGAAAGGGGAGGCGGGGGGAGGTGAAGGGGGGGGGGCGGGGGGGACGTATGTTGGGGCGCCAAAATGGTTTGGAAAAATAAATTGAAAGGTTGAGGGGGGTTCAAATCGAAAGTTTGAGTGGGGGGGGGGGGGGAGGGGGTGCACATCAAAAGTTTGAGGGGGGGGGGGGGTTGAAAATCGAAATCTTGGGGGGGGGGGGGTTAAAATCGAAAAGTTTGTCCCCGGGCGCCGGGAAGGCTCGCTATGCCTCTGAGTGACAGACGTGATGTTTTTTGATGGATGACCCCCGAAACCCACAGTTATCCAAGGGATGACGGGTTTTCTAGTTTCTACTAAAGTGGCGTGTCGGTGTGTCCTGGATTGTGACGGGAAAGATGCGCAACGGAATAATGTGCAACGGAAAAATTAACAAAGAGCTACTGTACTGAACTTTAGCATAATAAAACATATTTTTAAGAAATATGGCAAAATTAAATTGTATTAATATCATTAGTTTCTATTTGTGAAAATTTATGTTGTGCAGTTTTGAGATTGCACATTTTCCTAGATATCGTTCTTTACACCAAAAGCAAAAGATGATTCACACTAAACTCCGCAGAAAATTAGCTGTGGGTTTGATCATGGATTTAAATAGAGCAAATACCAGAAATGAAAGGAATACTTTAAAAAATGTTACTGTCGGCCGTTCAGTATTTGCCTAGATTAAACAGTAGATCTCTAGTTAAGCACTACATAAACTAAATGAAATAAAAACAAATACAACTGACCTGTAAGCTTTAATCTTATTACTACGTATTTTTAAATTCCTACCTTTTTAGATAGCATGACCTGGTTAAAAAGCATTTTTCTTGCACATAACTATGACTTAATTACAGTCAGCGATGTATCTTGGCAAAGCTACGCCCAATGCAATAAAAGTTGAAGCTCAAGAGAACTTGAAAAAAAATGTGTTGAGTTTAAGACTACATTTCTATTTATTTTCATAAAGCGTAAATTTAACTGGAAGTTTCACTCTCGTAAGATAAATATTGATTGGCTATACAGGAACTCCGTGATCGATAACAATTTGTTTACAAAAAATTAGATAAAATTTTTAAATAACATTGCAAATTCAAACCACATGACCTAGTTTTCCTATTTGTTTTCGCTTACAATGTGTACACTAAAAAATATGGCAGCCTATCGAATAGCAGGATGTCATTGTTTATGTCGCCATAGTACCTGAAA